TTTACTTAAATATTCTGAACACTTCGGACCAGCAGTATATTTTTGTTGTTAAATAATATAAAGTTGAAGATACACATTTAGTCACTACTCGTTCCTGACTATTGTTTAGTTGTATGACACTCTCAATGACTTCATATTCACGTTTAGATAATTGACAACTGCTAGCTTTAATTGCCCCTATACTTTTGGTGCATCTCTTGAAATTATTTTCAAGCTATCCTTATTTTTTAGAGACACCTGTGATTTTGTTAAGTATTCATTTGTCTCAGCAATAACGCAACTCAATGTAAACTTGTATCGTCGCCTTAACAAGATCCACTTCAATTTCGACTTCACACGTATCGAGAGACGTTTCACTAAATAGACTTTTAGCAACAGATTCCTTCAACATGGTACATTGACTAGGTACCAAAATTTATGAAACAGTTTAATTCTAAGTCATTGTTAACCTTGGCTGATTTAAAATATTTTAAATCATAATCAATATTTCTGGATATAACTCACAACTAATTGTCATACTGTTACGTAATATCTTTTTACTTAGTACTTGCACTACACTTTACACAAACACTCAAGTCTCTTATACCCTTAACACACTATAACCGAATGAATCCAACTTAGGTCGTGACAGCCATTTTTATATTTTCTTTAAGGAGTCAAATCCGAAACTATTACAATAAAAATCTTACCGGAAATTCAAAGATACAAAAGCGGAAATCTGGTTTACATTTATTAAATTTAGATTTATGTTTCACCAGACAATTACATTAAAATTAGGGTCATTCAATATATGTTTGATTCTCCTTTATAAATAATCGCTAACAATATAAACACTCACGCCTGTCACCCAGAGGGGTAGGCAGAGACTAAGGACTTCCATTTGGCACGATTCTGACACACCTCTTCCGCTTCCTCCACATCCATATACCTACGCATATACGCTCGTCGCTTAAAGGTACTCTTGATTTGGCCCATTTTCAATATATCGCCAATTTGGTTGATAAACTTTCGCCCAGGGCGTCCCTTCCCGACTCTGCCGTTCACCTCTGCAACAAATTTGCTTTGTCACTCTTTCCTTATTTATTCTATCATAAAATGGAGATATAAAGTTTAAAATAATATAAACCAAAAATTTTGTATTGAAGTCGGCTAAAAATATGGAATTTCAAAATTATTTATATTGCAAAGTCAGCTTAAGTAAAAATGTTTTGAAGAATTTAGATCATATATAAAAATAACCTTGTGCGGATATTGTGTCTTCATATTAAAACAGCAAAATTATATACTGAAGCAGAAATGAAAATAGTTTTAAAGGATTTTATTAAAAATCCGTCAGCCAAACTAAAACAAAAAAAGATCAGTGTGTGTCGTGAGCACACACGATAGAGTGAAATTTTATATTACAGGGATACATTTCAATTATTAATCAATGACTTTTGAATAGCATAGATTGTATATATCATTCATTTAATTACACAAAATTATATACATGTGTTTCACAGTGCATCATCTTCTTCGAACTTAAGAAGAGAAATTATTGGTTTAGTTTGTTAATTGGGTAATTATTTATTATTTATGTAATTTTGTTATAATTAAACCAAAGTTTAATATTATGTCAACAAAAATTATTTAAATGAAAATTTACAAATTGTTATTTTAAATAAACGCTGCTCTGCCTTATTGGGCTTCAAATTACTTCACTTGTTCATTTTTAGGGTTCCGTACCCAAACGGTAACCAACAACCCTATTATTAAGCCTTCGCTGTCCGTCCGTCCGTCTCTCTGTCTGTCAGCGGGCTGTAACTCATGATCCGTATTAGGCAGACAGTTGAAATTTTAACAGAATTTGTATTTCCCTTGCCGCTATAACAACAAATAATAAAAAATAAAAAAATAATAAAAATAAGAGGGGTTCCCCAACTACAAATATGTTTACAATAGTACGGAACCTTTCATGCGCGAGTCCGACTCGCACTTGGCCGGCTCTTTTTTAATAGCGCCATTTACTTCATTCCATAGGTAAAGTAATTTTATCGAACCATAATTGATTAAATCTCATGGTGGTACGTAGAAAAGACGCTAGATGGCTTAACCACAAAAAAATGTTATCATGTTTGTCCAATCCATTCATAACTTTTTTTTTTGGTTTATGCCATCTAGTATCTACTCTACGTACCACCTTGAGAGTCAATCAATTTTTGTTAGACAAAGTGACCTTACTTGCAGAATGTAGTAAAATGGCACTATTACTCAAAAGCGATCACTCTGTTAAAAAAAAACACGTGTACCTTGGGAACTGTCTTAAATAAAATTGATATAATATTAGTATTTGAACGAAAGACCATTGTAATCTTATAGCTGTATTACTATATACTCTATGGTATGTAATGGCGCGTTCGTCAAGTGTTCGCGATTTAAATGATCGACTTTTAATGAACGACCCGGTACGTAGTGTTCACAGACTAATATGATTCTTACGCACATATGTGGTGTTTACTCCCACCACTTTTCATCACACAAAATGGTTGTGGATCAGAATTTCTAAGCCCTCCTGTAAAAAGTTTCACTTAAAAAAAAATTGTATCGTAATTATATAGAAACATTGTGTTGAAAGTGTTCTTTTTCATTTATACGAAACATGCGTGTTTTTCAGTTATGATGAATGGATTTGAGTTTTTGTCCTCTGCCTGCAGTATGAAAAAGCTCAAGGTCGCTCAGTAAGCTATATATTACGTTTTTATTTTAACTACTTTAAATGATAACAATTTAACAATAAGACTGCCCTTTGTATTTCCCTCAATAGTTGTTTATTTTTCTTTTTCATATTTTTATCTTTTCTTGGTTTACAACAAAGAGTATTTGTATTGTATTGTATTGTACTTTTGTTTTTATTCCAAGACCAATTTTCAACAGTGATGATGTGAAGGATGTTGATACAAAACATTATTAAAAATATGATTTGTAAGAGTTAAAAGCAAGTTAATATTAGTTTCTTAGATTGCAATAACTTTAAGCATTTACTGACTTGTACTTGTACAAGATGACTGCTGTTATCTAAAAGCCATGAGATGCTTCTGCTATTAACAAGTTTTAAGAACAATAAAGGCGAAAAGGCGCATTCTCTGAGTTAATTTAAATGATTGTTACCTGCTACATAGTATATTCTATATATACATAATAGTGCGGAAACTTTGACAGTGTGATTTAGGCTTTGGATTATTTAGCTTTAAATGTCGCCACATCAACCCTCTGCTCAGACTGGAGGTCCAACGTGAAGTCTTCTTGCCAGTGCCTCTTTAAAGCCGGTGAGTAATAACAATAATGATGATATCTTCAAGACCGAATACACACACACACACACACACACACACACACACACACACACACACACATATATATATATATATATATATATATATATTAATAAAATTAAGATGAAATTGCGTACACCACTACCGCCACGTAAACGAACACTACTATCCCCAACATTACGCACTAGGAAACACACACAGATCGATAAAACCACACATGTTTCGCTTCTAAACGAAGCATCGTAAAGAAAGGAGAAATAGACTCTGCCATGGCTAAACTCTAATCCCTTTTAGCTGTTTGAAAAGTGCGTTGAATTTGGAAACCCTGACCTACAGAATGGAATTTACACCAAGTTTAAAATTAAGGAAATAAAACAGGAGATGGGGAGCAGCATCGTCCTGATAAAAAATCAAAATAATAAAAAAAATGTTTATTTCGGACAACTTGAATCCATAGAAATTGTTAGTAGAGAAAAACTTACATCGATGTTAGTAATATAATTTATACTTATTTTTAATACTTAAATATTAAGCATCATATAGGCCTGGAAATCATATGTCTGATCAGTGGACAGTCCTCACTGTCGGCAATCTCACTCAGCACTCTGTGGCCGTTGCCGCGCACTCTGTTTAGCAACGATGCGGTCTTTTTTCGGATTATTGCATCAAAGCTATCCACACCCGCCAGTGCAAACATCGCAGACGCGCTACGGTAGCGCTTAGTATGTAAATGAATTTTATGTAACATTTTAGTTATTTTATCACGTAATTGTGTATCTTGTCATAGTACTTAGTAGTTATAACTTTATTTTTGCCTTTGATTTGGTATCGTGTACCACGACACTAAACTTATTAGTTGTACTCTTTCAGTTGATTCTGACGGTGGGTTTATATGTTACCTGGAAGCAATTTAAATGAAGGATTTCGGCTGTGTGTTCAAGGAAACTTCACTGGAGGCGTGACAGCCTTATTATATTTTTTTACAAAAAGTAGATGGAAGGATTTAAAATATATATAACTACTAGCTGACCCGGCAAACGTTGTTTTGCAATATACATTATTTCTAGGAAATATTTTTAGATTTTAAAATCGCGATTAAAAATCAGGGGTTGATCGCAGAAGGGTGAAAATTTTAAGTTTTGTGTATTTTTAATGCTAAATCATAATAAAAATATAAAAATTTTTGTCAAAAAAATAAAAAAAAATATTTAGGGGTGGGTCACCCTTATTATTTAGGGGTTTGAAAAATAGATATGCACAGAAAATTTCATACAAGTCGGTTCAGCCGTTTCGGAGGAGTTTGGTAACAAACACCGCGACACGAGAATTTTATATATTATATGTAGATATTAATATACAGGGTAATTTTTAATTTACTGAAGACCTTTTGGGAATATATTATTTACATCATAACAACAACATCTGTAAGAAAATAAATTATATTTCTTCAATTTTTATTTTCATACAAAAATAAAAATATTTTAGTTGGACCTTCTAAACGGCAATAGTCCTAAATAGCAAAATAAAGCGCGTGGCGGGGTAGGGGTGGAGGGGTGTAGAAGGCGGCGCTTGCTCATTTGAACTTGACCTAATTATCTGTGTCGTCAGTCGGTCAGTCGCCTTTTGTGTGCCCGCGACTTTTCTCCTTCCGTTGTGAGATTAATATCGCGAACGTTACGCGTTGTTACAATGGCATACCGATACTCAAATATTGAGTATACTGAAATGGTGCGAATTTTAGCAATTTGCAATGATAACGTTAGTGAAGCCTGCCGTGAATATTCAAGGCGATTTCCCAACTCACGTGCACCGAGCTACGCTACGATGCTAGGTACTACAAAGCGATTGCGAGATTACGGGCAATTCCAGCCTGTATCAATCGATCGTGGTCGTCCACCGCGGCGCACAGTACGTGAGCAGGAAGACATACTGCAGTTTTTTGAACAAAATCCAGCAGCGAGCACTTATGAGGCAGCCCGACAGTTCAATGTGTCACAGTACTACGCATGGAGTGTCATACACAATGAAGGGAAGTACCCTTCCACTTGCATCGTGTTCATGAACTCAGCGAAGCTGACAAACCAACGCGAGTTACATTTTGTAACTGGTTACTAGCTGCTGAACGAGCCAACATTTTATGGACTGATGAAGCAACATTTGGCAGAATAGGACTATTTAAGGTACCTAGACCTACCTAGACCTAGGTAAGTCTAATTTTTAAATTTGTATTTTAATATTTTTATTGAACCATTATACCTTAATATCTTTATTCAATTACTGTTAATTTGTATTTAATCATTATAAATATTTTATTGTAATATTTGTAATTACTCGTATTTTAACCTGCATCCATTTTTTAAATACAACTTACCTTAAATAAAAAAATAGTTAATAATACTCATTTAATTTGCACGTGCAGCAAACATTGATCACCAAATCGATGCCTGCAAACCGAAAAGTGCAGGCGGCGCCTTTGATGACGGTGACACCTGTGTCGACGTTATAATATACGAGTATCGTTGGCTTGGCCTTGGGCCGCCGCATGTGCGACGTTGAGGCGTTGCCTCTTGGATGCAGGCAGAGTTGCTAGCAAACAGTATTCGTAAGAAAACTACCTAAATGTCTATTAAAGAATGTCTATTAATTCTTAAAGAAATTAATAAAAGAATCAAATAGTTCATCAAATGGTTTTATGCAAAATAAAGAAGTATATGAAAAGTTAATGTAAAGTCATTTTAAGTGGCGCCCTGGTGCAATAGGCACAGTGATGAATGGTTTAGTAGGCTCTCGCAACTAGGGTTACCATATCTCAGGATTTGTCCTGAGATTTCAGGATTTTTAGACTCTTCTCAGGATTGCGGCTGGATTTTGCAAATCTCATGAAATCTCAGGATTTTTAGAACTTTCAGTATAATACAGCTTAAATTTTATAAGATCTCTTAATAAAAAGTTAAACAAACTAAAAATAATTTTCATTTGGTAATAATTCCACAATTAAAATCAAAACTTATTTATCCAAGTAGGTACTTAAACATTTTTATCATACTTAATATGTGAAGATACCTTTTTAAGTAAGGTTTTCTTCTCAAACTGTAAAACAATCTCAGGATATTTAAATGGAAATCAGGCCTCTTCTCCGGACTTTTAATTTTTTCATCTGGTAACCCTACTCGCAACGCAATCAGCTGAGCGCGGGCGTCGACCGGCCCGGCGGTCATACTTACTTATTATAAATTTTAATATTTGTGGTATTTTATTGAATATCATTTGCTCATTTAATTATGTTTAATGATTTCAACACAATGTTTGATACTGTATCAAGTGTAAAAATGCCTTATTTAGGCATTTTCTTTGACGATTTATTCTGACATTGTTTAGGTACTACAAAATACAGACTTAAAAGGAGTCAGACATGACAACAAAACTTTAAAAGTAGTTTTTTCGTAAATGTATTATATTCTGTGAAGAGTTATCTCACTAAAATTTTTTGTAATGATGTAACCAATATATTCCCAAAAGGTCTTCAGTAAATTAAAAATGACCCTGTATATCTAATATATCTTATTCCCGTACTCGTACTCTCAAATTCGTACGGGTCGAAAAATTACTCACATATCACAACCACTTCCGGCGGATACGTCGCCCATCGTGCCGGGGCAGTACACGCTTTTCTTCTGATCCTGAAAAACGTCAAACACGCGACCTTCTCATTTTATTTCATTTTGTTTCTTTCTTACAAAGGTTGATTTTTTCTAAATTCTGTATAATTAGTAGTGTTCTAAACATCTTAAAAATGGTTCTTATTATTTATTTGTTAAACAAATAAGAATAACATGACATCACAACAAGTCATATCGCGGAAATCATGTCGACTGAGCTCTATCACTGCGAGCTAACTCCCGCCAGATTCTCATGCAATAATCATTTTCCAAACAAAATATTTGCAAAAATAAGTATTCAATTCTTAAATTTAACAGAAAGTATCCAACTATCACAATGCCACATGAATGAATAAGGTGTATCTAACTTTTACATAGTTTTAAATGTTCCATTTTCATATTTTTAACTTTTTATAATGCAGACTTGGCAACATCGATGTTGAATATCCTTTAACGATTAAGCCTGCAGGTATGTTTTATAAAAGCGAAAATGTTGTTACGATGGGAAGTTTTATTGGCCAAATTTATAGACACGAAGCTGTCCAGTGTAGTCGCGTGCATTTTTAATTTATAGTATATAATCTCGCAATATATTTTGCTTATGACAAATTTTTGAAAGACATTAAATTTACGATTACTTATTTGGTTAGGTCAATACATATTTTTCTCTGATAGTAATAATTCAAGATTACATTATAAAGCATGCCACATATATAACTACCAGCTGCGTGTCTGTGGTGAACACGTGACAAGTTGTTGCACCTGGTAATTATGGCATGTGTTCTAGGTTCGAATTCCAGCTGGGACGACTTAGTGTTACATTTTCTTCTTCATCATCAGCCGGCAACAGTAGTGGACGTTTATTAGAAAGTTCTTGCCGAATATGGACCTCACATAAAATATATGTACGTTTTAAATTAAACTATTTTAATAAGTTAAATTCGAACGACTTATAATACACTGAAATGTTATGTCATCTTAGGGGGGAAAATTATTAATTGAATACGACAAATACTTTTTATCCTATTGCTGAACAAAAACTATTCTTGACTTTCTACACCTTACCTAGGCGGATTCTATGCAAGCGAACCCGCGGGCAAAAGTTATCAAAACATAATATGAATACACGATTTGATAACTATCATCGTTACATAACCGTGTAGTCGTGGTGTAAGAATTTCCACTACCCCATATCGTACCGTGGGTCGTAAGAGGCGATTGAGGCGAAAATACCGGGACCAGCGACCTAATAAGTAGAAAATTAAAAACTACAGCTACCAACTCGACTATTAATTGTGACAACTATGGCAAATATCTCCACTATGAGGGGGATATTTGACATAGATTATATGGGGAAAAACTATTTTCAGCTCACACTTTTGATAGACTAAGATCGATACAGTTGCGTTGACATATTTATCAGTTGCTAATAATGTTATTTAATTGAAAGTCCATTACACAATTTGTTGCCAGTCGATTAATCTATTAATAATTAATACTAATTTAGTAATTAAGACAAGAGACTAAATTGAGACATGAGAATTTAATTACGATATTTTACAGTTAAAGTCTATTTTAAAGATGACGATTAGATTGTAAAGAGGATGATAAACTAATGATGATAAGTGAAATCATCTGACGTTTCTTAACTATTCCTGCCATCAAGAAGTAGTTATTTTTTATAAAACTGAAATGACAAAGAACATACAGCCCACCTGATCGCAAAGATGTGTTGTCATCTCTGAGGACTAAGATGAAATGCCTCACAGCGTGTAATCGTACCGGCTCTCGTTTTTGTTATTGTCATTATTAGGAAGAAGCTGCTGCCCGTATCCTTATTTGTTTCCCTTTGTCGCTTTCTACGACAATCAGGGGATGATATGTGGTAGTGGATATTCTTACACTGCCACTACACGGTACATACACCTATTCCTTCATTGTTTTGGATTTATATAATAACAAATTCGAGGGTATGTAATTCTACTAAAATTCAATCGGACAGCGCAGCGGTCTTTTCTCTGCACCAAAGGCATCTCAGAAGCTGTCCAGCAATGGGATCAACGTAGGCTGTAGTTTTACAAAGATTTTTTTATTATTAAAATGGGTTCACTTTTGACCTCCATCTGGTCCGAAGGCAAAGACGAGGTCTAAGATGGAGCGAGTTTGCCCACGAGAAGCCTGTTAACACTTGAGGTACGTGTTAACAGGCTGTAGAGGTGTAGGTTATAAGCACTCGGAAAAACAAACCCTGGCAGGGCATTGCACTCCTTGGTTGTATTAACACAGAGTCATTATTATAAGTCACCAAATGGAACTAAATGGCTTTGAACTCTAACATGTAATGCAGGTTCCCCACACTGAACCTGTAGCAAGGAAAGACAAAGGAACCCCCAGTTTTGTTTAAAACTTGTTAAAGCTTCTTTTCGTTATTTATCTTATATCACGAGTGAAATAATTCATGAATAATTCATCAAGTTAGGATGAGGGGATACACACAACGATAACATAACACGGTTATATAGTTGCTTCTTCAGAGCAATTGTAAGTAATGTGTTTTTACTCAAGTAAGGACGCATTTACAATGTCTACTTAATTTTTTTTTTATAGAAAAGGGGCAAGCGATCATGCGGTTCAGCTGATGGTAAGTGCCAATCACCGCCCACCGCCCAAACACTGGTTTCGGGATTTGACGCCAGAGGGCGCTCGGCTCGGGGCCATACTGGTTTTGAAGTTCGGACGAGCGGTGTGGCTGTGGCGAGAGGGCGCGAGCGCAAAAGAGTTGCTCAAATACAGTGCTGTCGAGAGCATGTCGTGAAGTCGCCCGGGAAACTTCCATTTTTTAGAGTCGGTTTTGTTAGCAAATTGTTGCCACGACGAGGTTTTTTGTTAAGTCTAGAATTAGACGCCGGGTTAACAAATTGTTAGGAAGTTAACATTGATTGCGATCAACGTCTGAATGGTTCTAGAAATAATTGTTGCCACACGAAACGGAAATGACCTTTAATTCGAACATTCGGTATTAGTGTTGTGTGTTACGTCGTCGTCTATAATAAACGAGAGTTAGTGGCGTCTGGAAGTTAGTTAATTGTACGATAAAGTTAATAGACTGTCATCGTGAAGAAGTAAACAAAGTGACTGTGGGTGACGCCGCTGGAGATTACCACAATTTGGAGCGGTGCCGAAGTCCGGCCTGCTGCCGACTTCAACGGTCCAGTCAGGTCTATCACAACCAACACCACAAAAACACAGTGGTGTTTTTGTGGTGTTGGTTACACACTACACTCAACACATACACACCTCCGGCCTGAACGAGCCCTGAGACAGCAGTCGCCTCAGATACAGGTAAGTAATCTCTATTTGACAAGCCTCCCCATTAAATTGTAGTAGGATAAAACATTTTCCATATAGCTTAGTATTATAGGAAATTCTTCCATATAGCCACTAGGGATCGAACCT